TGGGGGGTTGGGGAGTGGTGTGGCCCTGACTGGGCCCTCAGGGGAAGGGGGCATGGCTCAGACCTGATATGATTGGGAGTGGGGGGAAGAGAGGGACAGGAAGGGCATGGCGTACATTGGGGCAGGGTGGGGATAAAGGATGAGGTGTGGCCCAAGGCCTGATCTGGCCATGCAGGGAGGGATGTGGCCCTGCCCCAATTCGGCAGCTCAGGGCTTGGGAATTTGGCAGCAAGGAAGGGTGGCAGTATTATTTGTCACTACTCCACCACCGGATTTCCCAACTTGTGGGCCTGGGTTCCATGGATCCGCAGGCTGCATTTGGCCTGTGGGCTGGAGATGAGCACCCTTGACGTAGATGGTTTAGTTTCTCTTTACCCTCTCTATATTTGAATGGTTTTATTGGTGTGGTTATGTAGGTAAAATTAACTAGTAAAATGATATAACTATCTATAGTACAGCTTATATTATAGTACAACTGTGTCCATAAAAAAAAAAAAAAATTAACAGTTGTACAGATATAATTAGTCTACATGAGGTCTAAATCTACCCTTTTCACATTTTGACTACTGCAACTTACCCTCTTTTAAGAATGTCTTCTTTTAAAATATCATTCCATCCAAAATGTCAGGGTTTATGCCACGCACCCTAATATGGAGCAGGCTGCCCAAAACTTCAGAAATCTCCAGGCTTCATTTTTATATTCACTTTGCAATGTACAGCAAAACGTACTCCCTGGTCTTCAAAATCCTCTGCAGAATTCATCTTCATTGAATTATGCTGGAGTAGGTATGTCAGGTGGGAAGGTGGTAGTAGTTATGATGATTGTAGTTACGCCTTCATTTTTCCCTCAGGAAAATTTGTATAGGTTTTCCACACAATATGCTGTTGAACATTTCAATTTAATCTTTTCCAGACATCTCCGAGAACTGCAGTTGGAGAAAGTACAGTTAGAACTACAAAACAAAGAGATGGAAAAGAAATTACAGCTACTACAATCAAACATGAGCAGAGAAAAAGAAGAAAGGGAGTGGGTGAAATTTCTATACAATTTTATTCTAATATAAAGTTACCCCAATTAAATTTTTTCTCTTGGAGATTTTTTGTTGGTAACTTATCTCCTCATTTTCTACTTTCTTTGCCTTTGTTTTTTCTGTCTCCTCCTTTTCTCCCTTTCCCTCCCAAAGCCAGTGTTCTCATAAGCTTGTTTGTTTTTTGATGGTCCTTCCTGTGAATAGGTGACATCAGGGGTAATCAGCCAACATTCCTCTTTCTCTTGTTATTGTCCCCAGTGAGAATATTTAATGAGAAGTAGCCACAGTTCTTATTTTTCCTTCATTCTCCCTCCTTTATTTCTTCTTCTCAGTAGGATTGTAACATCAGAATTAAATCAGTCAATCGACACATTGTTCTCTCTTTTAATTGCATTCAGCACACTGCCTTTCACTTTGCCATTGTTGGAATTGTTTCTAGCAATTGTTGGAATTGTTGCTATTGTTTCTACAGACGTAGCTACCTCAATAGAGCTTTAATCCTATATCAGTTAAATGTATGCACATACATTTACAAAAAGAACGCAACGTTATAATAGTTTTGTGTGATGGAAACAATACGTTTGGGAAGTCAGCATGATGGAGGGATGAAGAAATCAAGAACCCCAGAGTCATAATTTCTGGGCACTTTTACATGTGCTCTGGGAGTGGGGGAGCTGCTATAATTAAAATGCAACTGTGTCTCATGTACAAGTGTCCCCATGCTTAAAAGTGGTGGTGAGGGCTTGTTCAAACTTTAATTCAAGCGCCCCCAGTTCCATTTTGAAGTATGGAGATGCTGATATACAAGACACAGGAGGCTGCTGGAGTGTGGCAATTGCCAGTAACAGAGTCTGTTCCAGTGTGCTCCAATTCCAGTGTGTCGGAGCAGCCTCGCTGCTTGTGCATAGGCACCCTCTGCTCTTAAACCAAATCGCTTCTTGGCCATAGCAAATTACTTCAGCTGCTTGTTTTTTTCATTATCTGTGTCTGACATTTCCTTATGGATAACTAGGTGTTTGCTAAATCATCATGGCTCAGACAGAGCTCTTAACTTCCTATAAACCACAGCTCTCTCTGCCATTACCTCTTTGCTTAGTCATTGTAGACAATGTTGTAGAGGACAAACTTTAATTATGCAAATGAAGTTGTTAATTATTACTCAGTTTGCCTCTGTAAGGAATATCTCTCTATCTCTAGATATATCTAGATACATCTCACAATACTGTTCGGGAATGGAAACACAGCTCAAGAACAAACTAAAATATAAACAAGTAGTTGAAAGAGAAATTACATATGCACAAGAATAACAACAGAACTATGTACACAGAATTAGAAATCAATCACTGGCTTCTCCCTTAAACTTGCAGTGGTGTTGCAGGTAGTACAGGGTAGCTTGTCACCGATAGGAATTTATCACAAAATCAGAGCAAGCACTTCTACTGAGACACAGATTCCACTGCCCACTTCCCATTCACAACTTCTTTCCCTCTCGGAGGCTCAACTCTTGATCCAGGGAGGGGTGATACTTTATCTTCAACGTTCAGTAGTGCTGCTTAGGGCTGCTGCTCCAGCTGAACACTAGTTCACTGGGTTAAACCTCAACTTGGCAATCCACACACATGCAGAGGGGATTCAGCCACCCTGGCCCTCACCCTCATATACGCAGGAGCTAGATGCACGCACTATAAATACATACCAAGTACACTGTACACACTCAAGATTCTCCCTCACACACCAGTCACTCTAAGCAAGTCCCACAGGACAGGACCCAGTCGCACACTACAAGCATGCTCTCACTCTCCTCACATATGGCCTTTATACTCTTCTACCCCAGAGAGCTATCACTCATTCTGTCAGCCAATCATACCATGAAGTGACCTGTCACTCAATAACTTCACTGTTCTAGCCAGTCACCATTTGCTTCACCTTATGAAGGTGGTGTTCACGTTCCCCGTGACTTACCCTGTTATTGGGTGGTCACTGTGCATACTCGCTACTCTGAAAATAGGTCAGTACCTAATCAAGGTCAAAGGCGAGCTTTTTCTAGAATCCTCTTTATATTACCTCCACTGGGCATGCACAAAAGACTAAGCAAATACACCAAATCACGCATGAGCCATTCACGGCTAACAAACATCACCAACCTTTCTGTTACTTGGCCTGTAACCTTGGTGTCCTCTTCGATTTGTACCTCCTCTAGTACTCAAATCCAGGTGATGTCCATGTCTGTCAGCTTCTTTCTGCATTAAACTTTGATGCAGCCTTTTGTATCCATCCATGTTGCTCAAACTCATTAAAACTTTTAGTATCTTACTTGCAGTATCCTTTTCTTTGACTATGGTAAATGCAATATTGCTCCCATGGTAAATGCAATATTGCTCCCATAATGTCCATCCTCGATACTACTGCAAAGGTCCTGACCTTGAACATGTCCTCCCCGACTGTGCATTTCTCATATGGGTTTCTATTCTCTGTCAGATCAAATGTTGCTTGTTTTCACTTTGAAGGACCTTTACAGCATATTTCTTACTCTGCTTATGTTTCTTTCCCCATGATGCCAGCCTTTCTACTTGTGTTAGATTTTTAAAGGAGCGTCACGTCTCTTTTCATCCCCGCTATCTCTCAAACTTGGGAGGGGGTCCCTGTAATATCTGTAAAGCAACAGTATTGCAGAGGTACAGGACTTTAAGAAGCACTAAATATAAGGAAGTGCCTGCTGCTGAGATATAGGAGGTCCTTGTTCAGCATCTGGGAACACCCCTTGGAGGCATCTCAGATTTCACACTGTCTGGATAGAGTCTGATGCTGAACTTCTGCTTCTTTTGAATCACCCTTCTAAAGCTTGACACTTCATTTTTAAACCAAGAGATGTCTAAGTTCAAAGCACTAAGGTGCCTCTCAGGATGGTACATTTGGTCAATTACTCATCTTCCTAACTGTTACAGTAATATACATGACGTGTAGACAGTAAGACTTATATCAACTCTGAGGTAGGAAAAAAAAGATGGTTTTGTTAATGTTTGTACAGTATGCAATATTTAAGTCTTAAGTGCAGTTAATTGCATTTGATCATGGTAATTAATTTTTAAATTCTGCTTTCTCCAAGCAGTTAAAGCTCACTTGTAGTTGTCTTCCTGCTTCTGAAAATATCCAAGCAACTAAAATTTTTAAAACATTATAGTTAGTTTATAGTGATCTTATGTCACTTCTTGTTTTTGCTTGTATTGACTTAGTGTCCCTAAAAGGTGAAATACTGATGTTGAAAATGAGAATACCAACTTGCACGCATGTGAACCAATATCAAGTAAACTAATACTCTGTAGACTAATACCACATTTATCCAAATCTAAGACTACTTTGAATTTAAGACAACTCCCAGTAGTTGGGGTTTATATATGGAACATTTATGAATTTGTTATAATTTTTGATGTATAGAATTTAATTATATGGAGTTCATTTTAAATTCATTACCAGTACCACTGTGCCAGCAGCAGCAGGGGAGGATAGGCAGCGCAGGGTGGGCAGGCAACCAAGCTGACCCCTGCCTTTTCCCCTTCCCCTTGTGCCTGCACCCTCCCCCTATTGCCTTTGCCCCCCCTTGCAACTTCGGCCCTCCCTTGCTGCTTACTGTCAACTTCAGCTCCAGCCCCATTCCAGCCTGGGGCATGGAGCACATGGTAGTAGCTCTGGCCTCAGCCCTGCCATGTTGCAGCAGTGGCGCCATTGCTGCTGCTGCTGTGTGGCTGGGCTGGGACCAGAGCTACCATGTGCTCCATGCCCCAGGCTGGAATTGGGCCAGAGCTGTGCCTATGCTAAGTAGTGAGAATGGTGCAGAGGCTGCAGGTGGCTGCTGAGGATCTAACTCTGAACCTGGGTTGGGGCTGGAATTGGAAGCACCATAGCTGCTCCCCTCCCCACCCCCACCTTGTACTTGGATCCAAGATGAGGGGCTTTTTTTCCCCATGTTGAGTGGGATAAAATCCTCATCTTGGATTTGAGTAAATATGATATATGGATGCCTCTGTTTATTTTGATTTAGTGTTGCAGGAAAAGTACACTAGCTTCTTATTAGAGAAAAGCAAAGGTACAGTGTCTGCCCTCAAAGATCTTATGTTTATTCTTACTTTAAAGAGAAAAGAGGTAGAGGAAGAAATGGAAGGTGGGGTAAACAAGAAAAATAGGTGATTCAAAAATGAAGTTGGAAACAAGTGCTCAAATCCCAGGTGATGACCAAAACTTCAAGCTTTTTTTTTTTTGGCATTAATATCTCATGCATTTTTTTTTTCTGTCCATCCACGCTGCTTAAACTCATTAGGGCTCTTACTTTACTTTCAACATCCTTTTCTTTTGCTATAACAGATGCAGTTTTGCTCTACTAACTTTTCTAACCTTGAACACGTAATCCCTCCATGCATTTGTCCTTTGGCTTCCTCTTTTCTGTCACATCAAACATATGCTGCTGGCCTTCATTTGGAAATGTCTATACAGCATATTTCCTACCTTCCTTAGGATGTTCTGTTAAGTTCCAACCTCATCCTGCTCCCTTCTTCTGTCTGCGTGAAGAACTAGAAAGAAGTATAAAATGTATGATCTGATAAAAGATGGCTGTGGACCAGGTTCAGGATACTGGTTCTAGGTAGAGAAGTGTCATGGAAGGAGGTATGGAGGTAATAAGAGTTAATTGCATGCATGAGTTTAAATGAAAGAGAAGTAAGAGGTTGTATCTAAATCATGCAAGGCTGTGAGGTGAGAACATACATAAGTCTTGTGTAAATATTGGCACTGAAGACAGTAAAGGGATTAAGAAAGCCAAAACAAAATGCTAAATGCAATTTTAAAGTATTAGGCAAAGAAGATGATTTCTACACTAATATGTTACATATGATACCTACACTTGAAGATTCCTCATTAGAGTAAATTTAAGCATCTAGAAAGCTAATGTAATCTGTAGATTTATATGGGATAGTAAGGTGGGGGGCGGGTGGAAGGTAATTGGATTGCTGATTTGTCTGGAAAATACCATGCATATATTTGATATTTGAAAATACTTTTGAAGTGGACAGGAAAGTGAAAATTCAAGGGATTTGTAGTTATTCCTGGAAATAATTCGATGTCTTGGGAATAATAAACCTGGCCCCTAGTTGGTATTTTTTTTTAATTAAAAAATGTCCCCTCCCCTATCTATAGGAAAAACAATTTTAGTAATGAAAGGCTGTTTATTATAGACGATCAAGTGGATATCGTTGGCAGTCTGGGCAAGTAGGACCAATGGGCATTCAACCACAAATATTGTTACAAAATAAAGAAAATGGTGTTAAGGTAAGAAACCAATACATAAGTAATCCTGTAAAATAAAAGATTTTACAAGACATTTTTGTTGGTTGTCATGTCATAATTAATATTGGCAAAAAACAACTGAATTAGTAAAGTGGTTTTAAATATTGTATTATTAAGATAAGAGCACTTTATTTGATAAAGAGCTTTATGGGTTACCTTTAAGCTGGGGGAGTACTGAATGTAGAATATTGTTTGATATGATTTATAGTTAAAACGGTTATTTATTAAAGGGGTAAATGCTCTTCTTACAAACACGGTATGGGGAGGGTTTTCTCAGTGCCCACCAAAGTCAGTCAGAGTCTTGCTATTACTTTTGATGATTGCTTGAAAAGATGCCAACTACATATCTATTCTGAAACTGCAGTCTTCAGTAGGCTATATTGTGCACTCATTTATCTTATTATCTACTTCATATTATTTCTACTCTGTGTTGATAATATTTGAAGTTTGTCCGTGTTCTGTCTAGTAATGCAGTGGCTTGCAGCAGCCAGAAGCGCTAATTTCAGGGGAAGATCTTGCTTTAGCCCTGCAGTCCTGGGCTGCAGTTTCCTCAATTTCCAAAGTTTCCTCAGTTTTTTAGTTTTAGGGCACTGCTAAGTCTCTGAGCATTTGCAAATCGAGAAATTTGTAAAGGTTCATAGTGGCTACTTACAGACATGGCAAAAATAAAAATGGTGCTTGACTTAAAGCACAGCATGCCTCTGCACCAGGCACAGTACATACCTGGAAGAAGCGTTTCATTAGTTGGACCAAAAAGCTCTGCTGAAATGCCTGATCTATACAGATGCTATGGAGCTGTGTTGATCTAATGTACTTCTTCCAGTAAAGCACTATTTTTGGTGGGGTTTTTTTCTCTCACTTCCATGAATGCCCAGCTTGGCCAGATATGAATTTACATGTTTTTAAAAAGCACATATTTGACATGCATATGAATTCCCTCCATATTTCAGGTGCTTTTTCCAGGGCCTAGAGAAATTGGAGCTTCTCCACTAAACTGGTATAAGATTTTTACACAGGAGTAAAACGTGTGTGTGTGTCTCTGTACCCCCCTCACAGCATTCTCCTTTTATAGAAATGGCAGAGTCATTTTTGCTGGAATTTTCAATAAAAAAAATCATAGGCAATATGGGAAATTTTATCCCAAATGTTTAACAGATTTATCAGAGCTATAAGCAACTGAGAACATGGCCTTTTTATATTGAGAAGTGCCAGGCAGCTTAACTGTAGGTAGCATTAGCAGTTCCTTTTATAACTATTCTCCTGAGTCTTGCAGTTTTGGGGGGAAAAAAACAGATTTGTGGTTTTGTTAGCTTAAATTTTTGACCCTGAGGCACATACTTTCACTGCACATGTACCTACATAGTTAAACCATTTCATGAACGTGTTTTAAAATACAGCTTCTGAGGACAACAGTATTTTCTTTACTCACACTGTTGAGTAGAATGAACATTTTAAAAAAATGCACTACCTACAAGTTACATATAAAGACAACCTCCTGAATTTCTTGAGACCCACTCTACACATGAAACTAAGGGCAGGTTGGGGTCTAAAGCTTGATTCACACAATTGTGCCTTCTGCCACGCCATACATGCATGGCAAGCGGCATGATGATGTGAATCACACATTACATTCTATTGTGCATTATTGCCAGTGCAGGGAGAGCCTGCAGTAGCAAGTGCCCAGCTGCAGGGGTGCCCCATGCTTCCCTGGGGCTGGAGGATCACCACTGCAGCCATCTCCCATCCTGGGGTGCAGGAAACCCATGGAGCCAGAGGATAGTACATTCCTTGGGCTTGGGCGTTCTGGAAACCCCTGGACCCAGGGTATCATGGCTGAAGCAGTCCTTAGGGTTCAGGGGTGCGGGAAACCCCTGACCCTGGGGTTCAAAGCTTCCAGGATCCCTAGGGCTTGAGTCTTTTACATTAGGCATGGTGCACCCCTGTAGCTGGGAGCCCCTGGTACACATGCATATTAAAGCTCGATAGTAACCAGCTGTAAAGTTAGTACACGTTTTCAGGGTCTAACTTTATATCTGGTTGGAGCTTTTTACTCTGTTGCTGGTCTCCAGGTAAATGCATATTTAACCAAGTAATTGAACAGTACCAGTAATCATTAGAGGGAGGCTTAGCCATACTGATATATGCACAGATGAATACACCTTGGTTTGAGTGATGCATGAAAAGAGTTTACCCTATGATTTCTTCAGAGGTCCAAGCTTCATATGTCAGGCTGAGATGACAGCTGTTAATTCACAGAGACCATTAGAAACAGGATATAACAAAATGTATGCAAGTCCAGAAGGAGTGCCAGACACTGAGAACTTCAGGCTAAGCTGTGGCACTTATTTCAAGTCTTTGAAGTAGTAACAGTTTGGCATGAATGCATTCTCAATTAACATACTCGATTTCAGTGAAATTACCTACTTGCTTGTGAGTAGAATTCAGGGTGAGAATGCAAAGGGTTTCCTCTAATCCCTTCTCCCTCTCTTTATTCTTCCTAACACAAATTCCTTAGCCCTGGCTGCCGCCACTTCAGGGAGAGCAAACAGCAAATTGAACGGCTCTGGTGACACATAGGGCAAACTTTTCAAAGAGGGAAGTGCCAGTGTGTACAGGTACAAGGGCTAGAATGCATGAGTGCACTGTGGATTCTTTTGTCTTTGGGAGGCGGAATATGGTTTCAAAAAATTTTAAAGCAATACATTGACGCTAGGAATTGGGCTGTAGATACAGCAGAAAGGTGCCAAAGGAGTTATGTGGACGGGTCAGTGGAGCTCTGCCGAGCAGACCATATCAACTTTTTTTTACGTAATGGTGAGGTCATAAGAGAGAGGTAGATTTTTACAGGTTGCTGTCCAAATACCAGTTAGAAGGAGAGTCTTTACTGCCTTTGACTTTGAATTACTAGTTAAGTTTGGTTCTGCCTGAGCAATATATTCTCTACTTGCCTGTGTAAAGGACCCCAGCCTCAGAATTTAGTATTAGTTTGGCAAAAGAGGTGGAATAATGAAGAGATGAACAGTGCCTGGTGGTTTTTGGAAAGAGCAGAATGCCCTTGGATAAAATAGACCATGGCGTGTTATGAAATGGAAATGGTTTTGTCAAAGAAGGCATGGCTATGATTAACAGTGCTTAGCTCTGTCTTGAAGAATACTGATATTTTACTTTAAAATATCATCCAAATAAACACTTTGTTATAACAATAGCATTTTTTCAATATGCATACTTCAGTGGCTATATTTGGTATTTATAGTTACTGTTAATTCATTTGCTTTTCTTTTTAATATGCATTAATACTTTCACATAGGTTTCTTCAGGAAAAGTGAAGTTGAAAATACTTAGAGAACAGATTCAAGGTAAATTGGTTTTTATATTACCAAGTAAAATAATAAATTGATAACTTGCCATTTTAATTTAATTGAATAGCTAAAAACACACCAGCGAGACAACTTTCACAATGGCAAAAGAAACAAAAAAAGAGTGTGGCTGTTGTTAAGGATATCTTTTTAAAAGCTTGACATTTAAACTTTGTCACCTTATTGATTTCCCACTCTCATCCCCACAACTGATGCTTTTATGGTGATCTGTCGCTGTAGTCCTCGCAACCACTGGACTTCCTGGAAAGATCTTTTTTCCCCCCTAAGAGCAGCAAAATATTGGAAAAGATGACAGTACTGAATTTTATAAGATGCTCAAAAGGAATGCATGGAACCAAATTATGCAATGCTATCTATTAGAATACATGTATAGCATCTTAAAACTATCACTCTTATTTATTTGCATAGTATCTTATTTCTTCCAGAACCACTGAAACTGCCACTTAAGCATAAAATAGCAAATGTTGTGGCTACTGAAAATCCTAAAATGAAGGGGAAGGTATGTGGACAATGTGAGACCAAAAATGCATTATTGGTAAGTAGATGGCAATAAAATAGGTTTGATATTTTAAAAAGTAGCTAAAGCCTAGGATTGGTTTTATGTAAAATAATCCCCTTATCTAGAATTTCTGCAAATGTTTTATTTAATAAAACACAGTAAAGTATATTAGATAATACTTGTGTGGGTTCCTATTGAGCAAAGTCCATTTACTCTTTCTAAGAAAAAAAGCCATTGAATTGTAGCCTACTGTTTGCTTTCTGGCATAGACAAAAGATATAATGAAAAATATTTTTTTCACTAAAAATAGTATCAGATTGCATCTTACAGTACATTATACCTCCATTTAAGTGCATAGCCATAGAATTGGAAAAATTATGGGGAGTATGATTAAGAGAGGCAGGAAATGCAGCAACATGCCTGCAGTGGCTCAGGGTAGAAGATGCCTGTATTATACCCCCTCCCACCCCTCTGCCTTCAGCATGCTGGCCCAGGGCTGGCATTTGGTCATGCCCCCTGCCCTGTCCACTCCCCTGCTGCATAGAGCGGCAAGCGGGGGGAAAAGCCTGACTGGGACTGGTGTTCCCCTGTGTAGGTGTGGGGGAGAGGGTTTAAATCCCCTTCCTTCCACCTCAGCATGCTGGCTGCTGGAGTGGCGAGCAGAGGCAAGTCAGGCAGGGGCTGTTTCTTCCCTACCCCTCCAGGCACACCTTGGCTGGGGACTGTGCAGGCCATGGTGGGGATATAACTTCTTCCTCCCCACCCCCCCATTGTATTTAGGTGGCTTGCCAGGGCCTGACCATGCCCCTCATCCCCTCAGCTCAAGCAGGGAGGGGCAAAGAGCTTGGAGGGCTTTTCTCCCAGCTTCCCTCCAGCTGTCCGGCTACTGCCGAAGGAAAAGGAGGGCTTGCTGTAGCGCCTCCCAGCTTCTAGCCTGAGCCATTGCAGGCAAATGGCTGCATTTGTGGAATCAAAAGTGAATGTCTGTTCGCTTGCTTTTCGGTTCAGTCTACGCAGTTTAGACTAACCTGCAAAGATTGAACTGATTCAGGCTTGGGCTTTTGAAATGTCTGTACTTAGCCTAGGTGATTTAAATCTCCACATGCGCCAGAACCACTGGAAGATCATTACTTCTGAGGCCGGTTTCCTGCCTGTCTCTTAATCCAATCGAAGAGTTACAGTACTTTTTAGATGGCTTGCTTCAGAGCTCGTTGTAGCAGCGTATACTTTCCCCATAGTACAGAACTATTTTGCCTTAGCCAGGTAAAGGAAGTTCTTGGGGTTGATTCTTCCTCTCTCTCTCCCTTTCTCAATGAAAAGGCAAATAACCAAAAGTCAGGCTTTGCTTATCTCTTAGAAGATGAAATTTGTCTTATGAGCTGACTGCTGAATTGCCCTACCACCTAATTTCTCAGCTAACTGAAAGCTAACACTACCTGATGAAAATAAATATTTTTTTTCACCAAAGCTGTAAAAAATAGTTTGTAAGTATTGATCCAAGTAATGATAATGAAAATTGTTCAAGCATTAACTTAGATGCAAATTTAAGAAATGGAGGAGAGGTTAATGTCCTGTGCATTGGGTCAGAACTTAATACTTCCATGTATGTGAACTAAAGGATTTAATATTTGACAGAAATAATACATTTGTCTTGTGGATTGTCTCAACATTTTCGAATATATAAACAGAAAATATTAGGTCCCTTTTAAATACCTAAAATTTTTAAGGAGCTATTCGGATTCCTTAGTATTATGTGTGTGATAGAGGTACGCTGATACTTTGGTCCATATCGTATCAGCACCGATACAAGAAAAATGGACATTATCAGCATTCAGCTTTTTTTGGGTGGTGTTGCTGATAAATGTCACATGCATGTCAAATGTGGCATGTCTGCAGCCGCAGCATGCAAGTGGCCAGGAGTGCAGCCTGACAGTCAGTGTCTGACTGGTAAGTCTGTTGAGGGGAAGGGGTGTGGTGGAGGCAGATCGCAGCCCCTGTGCTGAGGGAGGGCGTGGGGCTGGGGCTGGGGCATGTGCTGCCCAACCAGGGTGGGGTGGGGCACGTGACGGAGCCGACAGATTGTCCATGGGGGTGAGGAGGCTGAGACGGCTCCCACTGCTGTGTGCACCTCTGGGGGAGGTGTGGGGGGCATGTGCCTCCCAGATTTGTGCATGGGGTGAGGGTGGGCTTCCTGCCACATGCCTGAAACTGGGGCCGCTCCAGCCTCTTCTCAGCATCTGTGCTTGGGCAGGGCAGGATGGGGTGGCAGCAGTACTAGGAGGAGGGTTAAGCGGGGGTCTAGAACCACCCCAAAACTCACCATAGCCCCCTCCTCCCAGCTCCACTGCTGCTGCCTGTTCCTCCTGGCCCAAGTGCAGCCACCAGGAAGAGACTAGAGCAGCCCTGTTCCCGAGCATACACCTTTGCTCCATGCACAGATCCAGGGGACACGTGCCCCCCTCCCCCGCCCCCCTGGGGTACATACAGCAGTGGAAGCTGCGGCCCCCAGATGAGCCACTGGCTCTGTCCTGCACCCCGCCCCACCCTGGCTGGGCAGTGTCTCCCTCACTGTGGGGGCCTTGATCTGCCCCCTGTTCTCCTTCCCCCCACAGCCTTACCAGCCAGACACTGCTATCCAAGCTGCTGGGCTGCATATCTGCAATTGGATTGGTATCAGCTGGTATGGCTGGTCAGTAATCAGTCATTGGTATTGGCTCAGCAAATCTTTATGGGTGCCCCCCAGTGTGTGATTATACTACTAAAAATTATTGTGCATTGTATTTGCATAGTATAATAGAAAATAATAGAAAATCAAAAATGCTTTTGTCTTTTATTTTAAATGCATATAATCAGACAGAACTATGCTATTTATATGGCAAATTCAAAATAAACAGTGGTGTTGGAAGCATGCACACACAAATTGAACAAAGATTTAATTTTTTTTTCTTTTCCCCTTTTACTACTGTTTTCCTTTGATGGAACTTTAAAAAATCCCAGGTTATCCTCTAGCATCGCCATTGCTTGCAGTTTGCTTAGTTATCAATATTTAGTTCTTTTCTCATTTATTGTTGGCAGGTGAATTTTTTAAGTGCTTATTTTAAGTAAGAGACTGATAATGCGGGTTGTAGCTTGGTATACTGTGGACAGGTTATTTGTGAGTCGTTCTGCATGGTAAGAGTGCAATATGAGCATTGGTTTTTGTTATGGGCTTTGTCAAGCAGAGATTATTTGTAATGTGTAGTGATATTTCGTGACTCGGGTAAGTGTCTCATTATGACTAAGATGCTATTGCTAAAATTTTATGAGGTATGTAAAAATTAATTATTTAATACTACTGCAGATCGCTGCAGAGCTCTCATTTTATTTCTTCAGCTTCTATTTGTAAAGATCTTGGAAAAAATGAGCAAGAAAAACAAAACTTGGTAATAATTCTAAAACCATTTACTGTTGTTGTTTCGTTTGGTGTTTTCCCCCCAAGGTATGCTTAGAGTGTGGGGAAGATTATTGTGGAAGCTGCTTTGCTAAAATCCACCAGAAGGGGGCACTGAAGCTCCACAGAATGATTCCTTTACAGGTAAAAGTTTTTTTTTTTTTGTTTTTTTTAAGCTGTATGAGACTGTTTCTCTCTAAACAGTTCATTCGTTCAAATTAGTAATCCTTTTAAATGTCTTTATTAACTACAACCCTTTTCTTTTTGTTACACAAGGTATATATTTCTGGCTTTATTTCTAACCAAAATATTTATTGTTACATTTTGCAATTTTTTTTAGCAGGGAACTTATTTGCAAAGAGGGGAGAGAAAAATAAAACTTACTACCTAAAATAAGATGTAGGATAAGCTTTAACATCTTAGCTTACTTATACTTATCTATAGGGAATAGAGAGGGAGAGAAAAAGTCAGAAATGGTTGGGGAAGGGGAGGGAATACATTTTAAAATAAAAACAGAAAAACTGGGGGTTTTGCTACAATTTCTAAATTATATAAAACAGCATTAAGTCTCAAACTTCCAAACACTAATGTTTGTCAGTAGTGTTTCTAGATTGTGACTAAATAGGCAAATTAGAAGGCAAAGTTTTAACATTTCATGGGTTAAAAATGAGCTGAGATGTGCATCATATATACATGGAGGGCTTTTTTCATTACATATGAGAGAGGTTTATTTTTTTTTTAACTGAATTAGGAATAGTTAAGCTTCTTTTGATTAAAATCTGCCTTTAGTGTTTTTATACAGAAGCCTTCTGTTTGAAGGAAGCAGATACAATGATCCTACTCTGCTTTTGGAAAAAAATATGTACTGTTCTTACCTTATGCACTGATGGGTTTTGAAATCTTTTAATTTCTCTTGTGAAACACATGACTTAAACTGAAATAGCTGTAGTGTCATAGGTTTTAAAAAGTGGCTGGCAGGTTGCTGATTAAGAAGACTTTGCATACATAAGTTTCCAAATATATATCTATATTAATCCTGCATTACATGCAACTGTCATTCAAGTTGGTTTCAAGCTTTTTTCATTCACATATTCAGATAAATTTTGAATAAGCACAAAAAGCGGTTAATTAATCTTTATGCCTTAAGAGCAGTCAAATACAATGGTGAATGCTTGCTAGGATAATTAACACTGTTCTGTTTTCCTTTCTTTTATATGTATGTTAATTGTAAAAGAGGTTGCAGCTATTGAAATAGTTACAAATAGCATTCGTCTGCCAAATGAACAGTTGCTCTAGTGAAGATGATTGTGACATTACTGGATAGCTTTTAAAAAAAATTCTGATCATGGTATCTAATGGATACAAAATTCTAGCTAATACAGAATTCATTTTTGTTTAGACCTGAATTGTCTTTTGTTATTCTCCTAGCACTGGTGTGTTAAACATTTAACATAACTTTACTTGCGCATTGATTTCTTTGGTGACACGATAAAATTTAAGTGGCCAGTATAGTGAAGATCCCTGAGTACAACTATTATAGCATGCTGACTTACAACTTATTTATCTCATTTGAATAAATTAGTCTTAAAATTAAGTCTTTATGTGCAAGGTACTTTTCATTTGAATTCTAAATCACTATTTTTTTAATTTAATATACCAACCAGAATTTGTTTTTTCTTAAATGCAGCAGTGGTTTTATATTGATTAACTTGTTCAGATTATATAGACTTATCCCAGTTTTAATTTTGTTTCCTTTTTTATATTAATTATGGCTATACTGTTCTTATGTCTTGATTTAATGAATCAAAGACAAAGCATATCAGGAATTCTATAAATGGTTAGGTTTTTGCGATGGTTGAACAGAAGCAAAATCACTGTAAAATAAAAATGTAAACACATGCATGTCTTGACTGAATATTAGCAAATTTAAATGAAAATTTGGGTGTGTCCTTTGTCACTGTCTCACTGGTCCTTTGTCACTGTCTTACTGGACTTTCTGTATCTCAAATTTATTTGCTTATCTCATTCTTTCTTCCCAGAAAAATATAAGCTTTTCAGTAATGCTGTAAATTATCAAAGCTGTTGTGCTGATTAATGTATTCTTGTCAGAGTGATGAATGCTTGGAACACTTGTAGAGTGTTGCTGAAAGATGACATCATTTGAGGAAAAAGGTTCAGGTGAGAATTTAAGATGGTTACAGGATTTCCTGAAACAGCACACTGAGAGATGGTAAACAGAAGTCAAGAAAAGCAGGTAGTAAATCATAGTCTTAGGACCATTTACTATGCTGCATTACACTACAAGATATATAACGTATTCTGTGATCTGTTTGGGTTGGATTTAATATATTTTCACCATGTTGAACAGTGATTTATGGTGCCTGTCAGTTCTGCCTGAACTTGTTCATATAGAGCATAGGAATGGACAATAGGTAGAGAAGATGATCATTCTTAGCACTTCTTGGTCTTTCAGTCTTAAATCCCAAGGCAGACCCAGGGATGGAAGCCAGAGGTGACATTCTGTACTCTTTTGAAGTGAGTGGGAATTTGGCTATTGACCTTATTGGGTGGCAGATTTTTCCCCAGGTCAAGTCTGCACCCCCCCCCTCCCAGTTTTTGTCGGTTTTTTGACACAATACTGTTACAGATTACCTGTACGCTATCTATAGGAAGTTGTCACTGGAAGCTTATAACTGAAATGACTTGTTGGAGTTGTGAAGGAGGATCAAAGTTCAAGGTGTATGAAAGGAAGTCCTAAGCAGTTTGGTTAGTTTTAGGAGTTTGAAGAATTAATTTTCTCCAAGGCCCCAGATTCCATAGGTGAGGTGAAGGGTGCTTCCATCCTAACCATTCTATGTTCTGGTTGTTAGAGTATACTTTTGAGACATGGAAGAACCTCTTTGGACTGAACCTGTAAATTAGGTTTCCCAGTTTTGAATAAAGTATTTAACCACTGTGCTATTGTAGTATCTTCACCTCTCTGAGTTCTAAAAAAAATAATGATCCCTACTCAGGCAGACACCTCCCTCAGACCAAGACTCCAGCCTCTGGTTCTCAAGTAGATGGAAGCACTTAGGGCATATTTAGATGTGCTCCGGGGGTGGGGGTGCTTTAATTAGAGTGGCTCTCAGGAGCTGGTCTAATTAAAGCACCAACAGTGTCAAGTGTATTCAGCATCCTGCACTTCAAAATGGTGGTGGGGGTGCTTTAATTAAAACTCATTATGTGAGCTTTAGTTAACAAGCCCTACCACTTTGAAATGTGGGCATACTGAGTACATGAGACACTGAGGCTGCTGGAGCATGCTAATTAGCATGCTTTAGCAGAGTCTATTAATTGAGGCTCTGATGCACTGTAATTACAGAGCATTGGAGCAAATGTCTTGCATCCTAGGAGTAACTAGGAATAATGGGTGCAAACTAGTGGAGAGTAGATTCAGATTAAACGTTAGGAAGAATTTTTTTACAGTAAGGGTGGCCAGAATCTGGAATGGACTTCCAAGAGAGGTGGTGCTATCACCTAACTTGGAGGTCTTTAGGAGGAGGCTTGATAGTCACCTGGCTGGGGTCATCTGACCTCAGTCCTCTTTCCTGCCAGGGACAGGAGGTTGGACAGGATGATCTTTTGTGGTCCCTTCCGACTCTACAATCTATGAATCTATGTCTACAGGCACCCTTAATGTGCAGTTTTCGTTTTGATAGTTAAGTCCATAAAGTTCAGGCACATCCTAGATATACCTCTGTAATCAGTATTGTCTGGTGACTTGCTCTGGATGATTCCCTGCCCCATTAGTGTGTGTGTGTGTGTGTGTGTGGGGG